GGTTAAGATCCCCACCCCAAAACTATATATACAATTGTTGGGCATAAAGAGACGAATGCAGTCATGATATTAGAATTGACCCCAGGGTTTGCCCCACCCTTGCAGACTTAACCCCTGGGTCATAACTTTGAAACGGTTGAGATCCCCACCCAAAACTATATATAAAAATGCTGGGCAAAAAGAGACAAGTGCAGTTATGATATTAGATTTGATCCTGGGGTCTGGCCACAACCGTAGGGACCTAGTTTCTGAGTCACAGCTTGGAAACAGTTGAGATCCCCACCCCATAACCATACATAAAATTGCTGGGCATGAAAAATCGAATAGAGATATATATGCTACAAGGATTGGCCTTGGGGTCTGGCATATTCCCTTGGATCTCATTTGGAGAATATTTTGCCATGATTGCTTAGATATCCAGGTGAGCGATACAGGCCCTATGGGCCTCTTGTATTATATGTCATAATGTTTGTATGTTTTTCTTGTGTCACTTTTTTAGGAGTGTATTGTTGTCTAATCTGTCTGTTAAAACAAGAAAAGATCCACATTCTCTTCAGCATGTATTACTCAATTAAAAAGTCAATGGTTTAACAAGTAAACAAACCTCTCCTATTTTGTACTTTTCAGGCCATTCTTTACACGTAACGGGTTTGAGGCATCGGAATCAAGTAGGGTAAGTCTATTATTTCTGGGCGCTGTCCCTATTGTAACGCATGATCAGATTAGCCGCGTCTGGTTGTTATATTTTAGTTTTGTTCAGTTTTATGCCTTGAACATAGACCAGCAGGTCTACATTATACTTACTCCATTAATGTATCTTGTCTTATGTAAACAACTTTGTGTTTGATGGTCCTGTTCAGGTGATGTTTCAAACATGTTCTGGTCTAACTGTCTAAGCTGTCCTGCATGTACATTAAACATAACCTTAATCACTAGATGTTATGTTCAGATTAAATTAATGTATAAATATACTTCATTTCTTAACCTGTTCACCCCTATGTAACTTTAGTAGACTCTACCATGCATTGATATGGATGAGTCCATTATGGTCTACAGTGGTGAAAGGGTTAACCTGTTCAGCCCTATGTAACTTTATATTAGTAGACTCTACCATGCATTGATATGGATGAGTCCATTATGGTCTATAGTGGTGAAAGGGTTAACCTGATCACCCCTGTGTAACTTTTGTAGACTCTACCATGCATTGATCTGGATGAGTCTATTATGGTCTACAGTGGTGAAAAGTTTAAAGGATGAGAGTACTGTCTGAGGCTACTAGATATATTAAAAGATTATTGGTTTTCACTAGAGCACAATACATGAAGCTGCTAGATTAATAAAAATATATTCTGTCCCTAAAAGAATAAAGATACAAGATACGAAGGCCAATAATTTTAAGCACTGACACAGTGTCTGTTGTCGCCCTTCCTTATACTGCATGTACAAGTCAAGACAGGATCATTGTTAGGCTGGGGGACTCAATGTTGTATAAACGAAGGGTATGCCTCCCTGGGGACAGAAGGGTGGAGTCCATTATACTTGAGTAAAGGCTAGCAATTCTAACTTAATTTGGTCTGGAGCATCCTTGGGCCAAGGGAAGCAACACAATTATGTAATTTTTAAATGGAACAAGTAATTATCAATTTATGGTACTAAGGAAGAGTGTAGCTCCCTAGGGAATTGAGGCGTGATGCACGAAAGGAAATAATTGGTTAAGTGTTATAAATTCTAATCCTCTTGACCAATTGATTGTATTTCAACCATACAATGTGTCACAGGAGGGGATGTGTGTCATACCACAACTATACAACGTGTCACAGTAGGGGACATGTGTCATACCACAACTATGCAACGTGTCACAGTAGGGGACATGTGTCTTACCATGACTATCCAACGTATCACAGTAGGGGACATGTGTCATACCACAACTATACAACGTGTCACAACAGTAGGGGATGTGTGTCTTACCATGACTATACAACGTGTCACAGTAGGGGACATGTGTCTTACCATGACTATACAACCTGTCAGAGTAGGGGACATGTGTCATACCACAACTATACAATGTGACACAGTAGGCGACATGTGTCATACCACAACTATACAACGTGTCGCAGGAGGGGATGTGTGTCATACCACAACTATCCAACGTGTCACAGTAGGCGACATGTGTCATACCACAACTATACAACGTGTCACAGTAGGGGCATGTGTCATACCACAACTATACAATGTGTCACAGGAGGGGATGTGTGTCTTACCATGACTATACAATGTGTCACAGTAGGGGATGTGTGTCTTACCATGACTATACAATGTGTCACAACAGTAGGGGATGTGTGTCTTACCATGACTATACAACGTGTCACAGTAGGGGACATGTGTCTTACCACAACTATACAACGTGTCACAGGAGGAGATGTGTGTCTTACCACAACTATACCATGTGTCACAGTAGTGGACATGTGTCTTACCACAACTATACAACGTGTCACAGGAGGAAATGTGTGTCTTACCACAACTATACAATGTGTCACAGTAGTGGACATGTGTCATACCACAACTATACAATGTGTCACAGTAGGGGATGTGTGTCTTACCACAACTATACAACGTGTCACAGCAGGGGACATGTGTCATACCACATCTATACAACGTGTCACAGTAGGGGACATGTGTCATACCACAACTATACAACGTGTCACAGGAGGGGATATGTGTCTTACCACAACTATACAATGTGTCACAGTAGGGGATGTGTGTCTTACCACAACTATACATTGTGTCGCAGTAGGGGATGTGTGTCATCCCACAACTATACAACGTGTCACAGCAGTAGGGGATGTGTGTCTTACCATGACTACACAACGTGTCACAGTAGGGGACATGTGTCATACCATAACTATACAATGTGTCACAGTAGGGGATGTGTGTCATACCACAACTATACAACGGGTCACAACAGGAGGGGATGTGTGTCTTACCATGACTATACAACGTGTCACAGTAGGGGACATGTGTCATACCACAACTATACAACGTGTCACAGTAGGGGATGTGTGTCTTACCACAACTATACAATGTGTCGCAGTAGGGGATGTGTGTCATCCCACAACTATACAACGTGTCACAACAGTAGGGGATGTGTGTCTTACCATGACTATACAACGTGTCACAGTAGGGGACATGTGTCATACCACAACCATACAATGTGTCACAGTAGGGGATGTGTGTCTTACCACAACTATACAACGTGTCACAGGAGGGGATAAGTAATGCTTTGTAATTCTTCAGAGCACTTGCTAAGTACTATACTATACTAGGGTATTGTATGATGTGTCTTTACTGAGTAAATAACAGATAATTTGTCTGTGGTAGAGTACTGTAGTACTATACTAGCGTATTGTATGAAGTGACTTGACGGATTGAATAACAGATGATTTTGTCTGTAGTAGAGTACTGTAGTACTTTACTATACTAGAGTATTGTATAAAGTGTCTTTATGGAGTTAATAACAGATGATTTGTCCGTAGTAGAGTACTGTAGTACTATACTAGCGTATTGTATGAAGTGACTTGACGGATTGAATAACAGATGATTTTGTCTGTAGTAGAGTACTGTAGTACTTTACTATACTAGAGTATTGTATGAAGTGTCTTTATGGAGTTAATAACAGATGATTTGTACTGTAGTAGAGTACTGTAGTACTATGCTAGCGTATTGTATGAAGTGACTTGACGGATTGAATAACAGATGATTTTGTCTGTAGTAGAGTACTGTAGTACTATGCTAGCGTATTGTATGAAGTGACTTGACGGATTGAATATCAGATGATTTTGTCTGTAGTAGAGTACTGTAGTACTATGCTATACTAGAGTATTGTATGATGTGTCTTTACGGAGTTAATCACAGATGATTTGTACTGTAGTACTATACTATACTAGAGTATTGTATGAAGTGTCTTTATGGAGTTAATAACAGATGATTTTGTCTGTAGTAGAGTACTGTAGTACTTTACTATACTAGAGTATTGTATGATGTGTCTTTACGGAGTTAATCACAGATGATTTGTCCGTAGTAGATTACTGTAGTACTATACTATACTAGAGTATTGTATGAAGTGTCTTTACGGAGTTAATAACAGATTTGTCCGTAGTAGATTACTGTAGTACTATGCTATACTAGAGTATTGTATGATGTGTCTTTACGGAGTTAATAACAGATGATTTGTCCATAGTAGATTACTGTAGATTACTATAGATCTTTAACTTACTAGAGTAACCTAGTGTGTGCATGACTTTTGTGTTGCTGTGCAGGAAAGTGGTAAACTCAGTGATGACAACAGTTCTCGGAAAAATGACTCTGACAGTGTAGCTGTAAGTACATTTTATTTTTATTTTATTTTTCTATTTTTAGAGTTTTACATGCTTGTTGTTGTATTTCTGGCATAATTTGATGTGCGAAAATGTAAAATTTGATATGAAATAATCATAATGTCAGTATATGTACTAATTAAAGGAACAACCAGTGATTTGTTAATTTGATAGTATTACCTTGGTAATTAGATGGTGTTTAGACTATCTAGATTGAATTTATCAAGAAAATATAGTCAGCCTTTTATTGAGAATTTTCCTCGGATATTCAGACTATTCAATAATGATTTTTTATTCAAGAATCAACACATAAATTTGTTGTAAAACTTATTTTGATTATAAAATATATTTTTTTGTAACGTTGAGAAGAACTTCAAAAAATCTTCCGTAAAAACATTTCTTGTGAGTAACTTTAATTGTTAATCTCTGCATAAAAATTTCAAGATTGTTATTTTCTCAACAAAATCAGTGCCAAGGATACATTCATTTTGACATGAATCATACTTTTTGTGGTTAGTATAAACTCCTTTGTGAATCTCAATAATATCTCTTAGATCAATACTGACCCTAGTACATTCAGCATGAGACTTGGACTGAAACAAGCCCTTCTATGTTCTCCTTTGACATTTCTAAGACTCTCTGGAAACTTGACCTTTTGCATCATCTCTCGATTGGCTTATTTTGGCTGAGTTGATCACCTTTCTTTGGAAAAATAAATGAAAAATATTAATATTAACCCTTTCATCACTGTAGACCATAATGGACTCATCCAGGTCAAAGCATAGTAGATTCTACTGAAGTTATATAGGGGTGAAAGGGCTAATGATTGGATTCCACCATTTTATGAAATATATTTCTTTGTTTTGAAATGCGTCAAGACTAGTATTGGGATAAAAGAAACTGCCCTTGTTGACAATTATATATAGGTTATCTGAGTTGAATCACCCACATTGTCATTGTCGCTAAGATAATTTTGTGTTATTCTTTGAGAACACTGAAAATCCACTGACTGCATTTGGAATTCACCTGAGCGAACCCCCTTTGAACAAGATACAAATATCCTTTATTGGGCCCCAGCCACACATATATGAGTGATGAAAAAATACCTTTTATTCTAATAAAGGTCCACAAAATTTTAAAGTGTTCATATAATTAGAATCTTGAAAGAAAGTGTAGAAGCTGTCTTTGTTAGACATTTTGCATGTTGTGGTTGTAACCGTGTAAAGATGTGAGGTATATTGAATTAAAGTTAAAACAAATGATTATTATTTAGAATTTATGTTGTATTTTAGTATTAAAACTTGTCTTGATTCTGCTCTGTAAAACATGCCTAACTTTTGTATATGATTTCATGGTCTCCTATGATCATCTATTATATAGTTTTTGTGTATTTGAAGGATTTTTTTTTATTATTTTATTTTGAACAGTTTCAGGTAAATTACAGTGTAAGATAATGAGTGTGGTAGCTACCCTCTATAAGATAATGTGTGTGGTTTTCACCGGCTGTAAGATAATGACTTGTAGCCACCGTCTGTAAGATAATGAGTTTGGTAGCCACCCGCTGTAAGATAATGTGGGGTTGTCACCCGCTGTAAGATGATGAGTGTGGTAGCCAACTGCTGTAAGATAATGTGTGTGGTAGCCAACCGCTGTAAGATAATGAGTGTGGTGGCCACCCGCTGTAAGATAATGTGTGTTGTAGCCACCCGCTGTAAGATAATGTGTGTGGTTGCCACCCGCTGTAAGATAATGTGTGTGGTAACCACCCGCTGAAAGATAATGACTGTGGTAGCCACCCGCTGTAAGATAATGAGTGTGGTTGTCATCGTCTTTAAGATGATGTGTGTGGTAGCCACCTGCTGCAAGATAATGAGTGTGGTAGCCACCCGCTGCAAGATAATGTGTGTGGTAGCCACCCGCTGTAAGATAATGAGTGTGGTTGTCACCGTCTTTAAGATGATGTGTATGGTAGCCACCCGCTGCAAGATAATGTGTGTGGTAGCCACCCGCTGAAAGATAATAAGTATGGTAGCCATCTGCTGTAAGATAATGAGTGTGGTTGTCACCGTCTTTAAGATGATGTGTGTGGTAGCCACCCGCTGTAAGATAATGTGTGTGGTAGCCACCCGCTGAAAGATAATGTGTGTGGTAGCCACCCGCTGCAAGATAATGAGTGTGGTTGTCACCGTCTTTATGATGATTTGTATGGTAGCCACCCGCTGCAAGATAATGAGTGTGGTTGTCACCGTCTTTAAGATGATGTGTATGGTAGCCACCCGCTGCAAGATAATGAGTGTGGTTGTCACTGTCTTTAAGATAATGAGTGTGGTAGCCACCCTAGAATCACGTCCTTTAATCTATGGCCCGTGTTAATTTAGGAATGTGCGCAGCCTTCGATTCAGGGAAACCAAGAGAAAGCAGCGCCTTGCGAGGTAATGTATGGATAGGCACTGACTGACTTCTCCATACGTAGTTCTTATCTACATTGTAGTTGATATCGCATCTTCACCTCACAGGCACTGACAGAAAATCTGCATGGTTTTACAGGGTGAATTTGTGCTGAAAAAAATAACTTTCTTAACAAATACCCCATGCCGCCCCCCTCCTCCCATCTAGGTTTAAAAAAAGTCTGTCCTTTGGACACTAGAGTTTCCATGTTCAAATCCTGTTCTGTCAATTACATCTTCCCTATTCATGTACATCATTAACGGTATTAGAGGCCAACACAACACAGGGTTTACCTGTTAAACAAACACTTTAGGGAGTCAATTTAAGCGTTTTGTTTTCTCTAAGTTTATTTGTTCCTTTGCTTGGTGTGTCGGGTGGTAGGCTTCAGGATTTTATCAGGGTTCCTGTGGCCTTTTTAATGCCTCATCCTGTTGGTTGTACATTAAAAAAAGCAAGAATTCCATTTATTTTACAACTTGCCCATTAAATTTATTACCATATTAGCTAATGGATTGGTGCAATGACTTGTGCCGTTTACCCCTGATAAACCGCTCATCTGTTTGGGTGTATGTAGGACCGCGATACCGACCCGGACCAGGTTGAATCTCACTGCAAGCCCAAATCTCCAAAACTGAAACCCAAGATGTCACGCATGCGGAGCCGCTCATACCGAGAAAAACAAGCCAAGAAGGACGAGAAACACCTCGTACGACGCAATAGTACCGGAGTGGTTGAGAGCTCGGTCAGTAACCAGCTAACACTGTGTGGTATTGGACTGACCAGACTGATTTGCATATTCATATATCATTAGGCTGACCAAACCTTGCCAGCATACATTTACCCATTGTTTTCTTGCGCCTTTCACTCGGCTAGCTTTTCACTGCACTGTTTTCTTCAGTCTTTTTTCTCTTTTTTTTTCTTATCTTTTTATTTTAAATTATTAAATAATGATCTAATAACACATATGTTTTGTATAATTATATATTGTAGATTTAGATGTAATTTTTTCGACACACCACATGTTGATATTTGTATGCAGTGTGTGCACTTTGAAATGTGTTATGTTAAAATGGAAGGGATTCTAGTAGATCTATAACGACATTGGTTCACTGGTACTAATTACCTACATTTCACACTTAGTACAGTCCTACACTGAGCATGCTCTATTAAGCTTGATTGCACTCAGTGTGGAATGCAACAGGTCACCTAGTGCAAGTTCATGCTCCAGGATATCATACAGAGAAACACATCTTATAGTGAAAACAAGAACGTTATAGAAAAAAGATAACAATTTTTAAGAGGACTGGGAATAATGATTAAACAGAAATACTTAAAAAGATACTTGAATTCCTAGTTTTTCTAAAACATAATTTCAGATAATAGTAAATCCTAGACATGTGTAAGTTGAGCGAACAGAAACATTTTTAACATGATTTACATTATATTTATTACAATATACTAGTTTTTCAAAATCATATTTTTAAACAATCATAAATCCTAGACATGTGTAAGTTATTCTTTGGGAGAAAACAGTTTTTTGCGGTTTAGTTGGTATAGAGTGCTTTTATTTCTGTTATTCTTTGGGAGAAAACAGTTTTTTGCGGTTTAGTTGGTATAGAGTGCTTTTATTTCTGTTATTCTTTCCTTATATATCCAAGATTACTAACTTTTCTAATATCCGAGTCAGTCGGGATTGCTGTTGGTATCAACAAACGCACTTTTTTTAATGATTTAAACAACATTAGTTACATATAACTAGTTTAACATTTAAGCGTAGGAGTCAATCGCAACAAGCTCAGGATAAGTTGAATCTTATTTATTGGGTATGTCTACCGGTTTCGCTCGAACAGTGGGCTTCTTCAGGACGATTTAATAACAAAATATGTCCCCTGAAGTACTAAAATTCTGGGCACATTTATATTGTAGTTTAACATTTGATGTACACTAAATTTGCTTTAAAAAAATAATGCTGAAATGAATGTTTATTGAACAGTTAACATTAAAAAAATCTTTATTGAAAAGAGTGTTAATGACTGAATTAAAAATAAACAATTGTAATTAGACTGTGATATCTTTGCATTCAAGATGTTTTAAATACTGCAATATGTGTAGGGAAAAAAATCTAAAAATAATTATGGTAAGTAATTCCATGTTTGAAAAGAATAGATAGAGTTGGCACTGGCGATATTTTACTTAAAATAAATTAGTTAAGGTAAAATAATGTTATGAAAATAAGATTTCATATATTTACTTACAGCTGGCACTTTGTAAAGTATTATTAGTTTTTGTAACTTTTTGATTGACACCAGGCAATGTACAATGTATTGTCACTTTGTAAAGTATTATTTACAAAACACGAATGATTTATTAGTTGGGCTAACTTTTTCACTGTTTGCTGATCAGTTTCTACAAGCAACAAGAAAACCCTATTTTAGAAAGATGGAGAGCAGGATTGTTATACTTATAAGGTAGTATATGTCTGTTACATAATGAGTGTTTGTTATAATAAACCCCTCCCCCCAAAGGTAGGGAGGGGGTATACTAGAATCATAGTAGTATATGTCTGTTACATAATGAGTGTTTGTTATAATAAACCCCTCCCCCCAAAGGTAGGGAGGGGGTATACTAGAATCATAGAATCAGCTGGTCTATCTGTCTACGATAGCCGATCTGTGGATAAAAGTTGTTTGCAATGGGTAACTTAAATCCTTCTTAATTATTATGCCAATTTCAACATAACTGTACATGTATATGCTTGATCGGCACATCTTGTACAGTACATGTAAGTACTTGCTCAGCTGGTAAGTTTTTTCTTCAGATTTGACTTTTTCCCCAGAGCTTTTGTCTTTTCTTTCGAATTAGTCATTTTCAAGCCCTGGAATTTGAATTGAGCTTTTCAGTATTCCTCAGACCATAAGAAATTGTGGTCTCAGTATTTTTAGCTCAGCTGGACAGAAGGGCCATGTGAGCTTATGCCGTACTGCACCGTCCGGCGGTCAACCTTTTTTTTTAACGGCTTCTTCTGAAGAACTGGAGGTCCTATATACGGTCATGATATTTGGCCAGTAGGTACCTGAGATGAAGTGCTATAAAGTTTCCTTATTAAAATGACCTTGACCTACTTTCAAGGTCACAGGGGTCAAATATGTTAAAAACTTCAAACAACAATATCCTAAGAACCATTTGGACTAGAGTCATGATACTTGAGTATGTTATGAAGACCAGCAGTGCAAACCTTTTTTAATGGCAGTAATGGGGTCAAAGGTCAACTTTAAGTGCTAGGTGAGGGTCAAATGTCAACATGGGTTAGAAGCTTTAACAATCTTCTTCTCAAGTTCCATAAGGTCCAGGGTCATGATATTTTGCCAGTAAGTACCCGAGATGGAGTGCTATAAAGATTCCTCATTAAAATGACCTTAAACTAGTGTCAAGGTCACAGGAGTCAAATATGTTAAAAACTTCAAACAACAATTTCCTAAGAACCATTTGGACTAGAGTCGTGATACTTGAGTATGTTATGTAGACAAGCAATGCAAATCTTTTTCTTGACTACAGTAATGGGGTCAAAGGTCAATTGAAAGTGCTAGTTGGGGGTCAAACGTCAACATGGGTGAAAAGCTTTAACAATCTTCTTCTCAAGTTCCATAAGGTCCAGGGTCATGATATTTTGCCAGTAAGTACCCGAGATGGAGTGCTATAAAGATTCCTCATTAAAATGACCTTAAACTAGTGTCAAGGTCACAGGAGTCAAATATGTTAAAAACTTCAAACAACGATGTCCTAAGAAGCATTTGGTCTTAGTATAATGTCATGATACTTGGGTATGTTATGTAGACCAGTTGTGAATCGTTTTCTATTTTACAGTAATGAGGTCAAATGTCAACTTAAAGTGCTAGCCGGAGTCAAAGGTCAATGTGGGTTAAAAGCTTCAAAATTAAAATTTTCAAGTTTCAAACAACAATATTTTAAGAACCGTTTAAGAGATGTTAAAATGTCTACCAAATTTAGTCTGAAATTACCTATATGTCAGTTTCATGTAACAAAAGAAACAGGTGAGCGATACAGGCCCTCACGGCCTCTTGTTAATAGACAGTAATTATATTTCCCATTCGTTGTCATTGCTTTATATACAATATAATAAATTTTCCATTTTGACCAGTTTTATGGCACAGTGGGGGTTATTAGTTGGCCTTCATTATTCACCATGGCCTCCTTGGTAGGACGCCGGGCACGTGACCGAAGGGTTGCGGGTTCGAGTCATGTCATTGCACTGTGTTGTATCTTTGAACAAGATACTTGAACAAGATACTTTACTCAGCTTCCTCCAGTCTACTCAGCTGTAAATGAGTACGTGGTTGGGCAGTTCTAGAATTGTTGAATGCTAACTGTGAGCGGCGAAATGGCAGCACCGGCTGTATGCTCCCCAGGGAGTTGATAAAGATATTGGCATAAGCTGCAAAGGCCCTATAACCACGGATAATAATTTGTAAACCGCTTTGAACTAGGTTGTGATAAACACTGATAAATAGCGGTATATAAGAACCTCAAATATTAATTATTAAAGGAAGATGGTATATTTAGATACAGTAATATTATTGGTAATAGGTTAATGTACAGGTATTGTACCAGGATAGACAGGGCATTTTTTATTTTGTCTTTTTACTGCCTGTCTCTGCTTTTATTTATTTTTTAAACCAGTAAACATATTGTTCTCCGATATTAAAGCATTTTGTTTTTGAAATCGGACATATAGTTTTCAAATGATGAAAATTGGAAGCACTACATGTATTAGTATTTGAAACTAGTACATCCATGCTACCAAGCTTTGTCTTTGTCCAGACCCACCCAAGGATAAAGTCCCTGAATCATAACTTGGAAATAGCCAAGATCTCCACCCAAAAACTGCATGAGTTTTTACTGGGCAATTAGACATAATCATAACCATAAAAATCAACCTTGGAGTCTGGCATTGACCCTGAGAACTTAGTTCCTTGTTCATAACATGTATGTTCGTATGTCCTTGCACCAGCCAAGGTCATATGAAGATGTGTGCCTGACATGGAGTTAATTGAAAACCCCCACCCCATTACCATAAACAACTTTCTTACTGAGAGACAGCTAATAGGAATAGTTTGCCATGATTGCTTACATATCCAAATGAGCAAAACAGGCCCTTTCATTTTATGAAGGGATAAAATGAAGAAATGGGAACACTGTATGACCTGATAAACACCTTTGGCCATAAATGAGTCAACTTTTCATGATGAGTCATACAACAATACAAAACCTACAATGTATAACAAAAATGTTCAACACCTCACACAACACAGTACACAACAACACTGTACACAACACACTACACAACAACACCTCACACAACATAGTTTACAACAACACAGTATACAACAACACCTCACACAACACAGTATACAACAACACCTCACACAACACAGTACACAACAAAACCTCACACAACACAGTACACGACAATACCTCACACAACACAGTATACAACAACACCTTACACAACACACTACACAACAACACCTCACACAACACACTACACAACAACACCTCACACAACACAGTATACAACAACTCCTCACAACATACTACACAACAACACCTCACACAACACACTACAAAACATACTATACAACAACACCACACAACACACTACACAACAACACCTCACACAGCACAGTACACAACAACACAGTACACATCACAGTATACAACAAC